TTATCTGCTTGAGATGATCTATCTGCTTGCCTCTTGTTTGGACGACCATATCACACACTGAACCATCTTGTGCTGGCCACGGGCGCATAAAAGGAACTCTGCATCACATTTGATCTTTGCCATTTCTTTTCGTTCACAATTCTTCTAGTTACTAGTAACAAGAAGCTACTAGGGGCTCCTGGCCATACTACTACGAGCAAGGACGCTACTAGGAGCATTTCGGGCATCGCTACGAACGGAGCAAGGACGTTACGAACCACCCCTACTAGATGCTAGTGCCCAGTTGACCAACGCATCTGAGGTGCCACAGTGTGGATGTTCAGGGCCGGCATGGCGCTTCGTGCACATAACTAACACGACATCTGACGCACTTAAACATCAACATGTTAACCGTGTTACGATGTGTTACGGTTGAAGCATTTAGTTCAGAATTGTGTAACATGTTGCACGAGCATGATTGTGGCTGTGAAATGGTATTGCTCATTCCTGTACAGCATATTGTTGTCGGAAGAGTTGGGAGACCTTGACCATGGCAGGTCCACTCTACATCACTCTACCCCTTTCTCACCATGCGACTCGTTGTTCGCTACAGTGGAACATGTTGGCCTGAGTTCGGGCGAGCGACTCTGACTCGAACGAGAGGCGACTGCGCTCGGAAAGTTTAGACTTTCACAAGTTTGAAAATCGTCAATTTCTGTCCGTTTACACATCTTAGTGTCAGAAAGCATAACTTTGTGGAAGGCACATAAGGCACGGGACCCTCCAGCTCGCAATCCAAAAATGACTGGTAGCTTCTAGCTACTAGTAGTAGTGCCCTTGTTGCTAGAAAGAACAAGTTTAGTGTGTCAAAGTAGCTCAAGCTTGACATGAAAGGCGTTTTGCGCTCTGAGCGTCAGGTCTTTGGTCGGAAACCTGTGAAATCATATTTCCTTATCATCGGTCCAAAATCAGTTGGGTGGTGACAAAATAAAGCTATTGGATTTGACGCAAGCCAAGTCTCCTTTCTTAACTTGTTTTCACCTGTCAGTCTTCCTCCAGCTACAACGACCAGAAGTTCTAAGTCTTCAAACATGTTGTCCTTCAAACATATTGTCTGGATGCTTTCCTTTTCATCCATCTCCCGTTTGTTTTGTTCTTTATGTATATTATATATTATATTTGTTTGTATGCCCCATCACCAATGAGTTGTCCATCATCAATCACACCATGTGAACAAGAGTCTTGTGAGTCTTGTGAGTCTTGTCCAAGACCCCTTTCTCTTGGCCTTCCGCTCTCGCTCTGTTTGACTCGCAAGGGCATGTTCCGAGGCCGTCCTCCCTCTCCGTCTTCGTGAGCCGTTGGGTGGCTACACAACCTCGAGACCGCGTCTCTCACCGCAAATCAATTCACTTTGACCAATTTCGGAGCTTCGCAGGATGCACACCAAACATTTAGCCGAAAAATGTGATTCTTATTGAAGAGCACCATGATGTTGCAACCATTTGCCAAACCTATCACAAGCTGCATCGGATTGGTTTCAGCCTCTGATGGGGTGTACAAACTCTGCTTGCTCTCCAACAGGTTTGCCAAAAATGGCAGAAATGTCGACACACCCTTGTAACCCTGATACTCATATTCCAACTGCGGCGACAAGCTGCAAAACCCTATCCGAACTCCTTCATGAAAGAAACTAGCAATCTTCGTGTCATTTGTAGCTGTGTTTGTCAGCTGTAGCTCATCGGTCTTGTCGCTCTTGTTCATCGTTTCTTCTCTCAACCATTTGATAAAATCCTCCCACTGTTGTTTCTGTGTCTGATGTGAGCGTCGAGCTTTGGCACGGCGAACAGATTCCTTGTGGTACTCAGCGATTTTGGGCCTCACCTGGAATTTTTGCTCCAGTTCACTGAGACGTCCCTCAATCACTTCAATGGAGTCCAGTCGGGACGAGACTTCACCTTCGCGTCCGGAGCGTTCTTCGCTTTCGAAGATCATGCCGAGTGTCTTGGTGGCGCCCCTCGCCACCATCACAGCATCGCAGCCGGTCTGCTGCAGCATGCGCGTCGCATCTCTTTGACTGAAGACATCACCATTACCGATGATCGCCAAGCGATGACCCGCCAGCTCTTTGGCCTTGCGGATGTGGTGCCAACGTGCTTGGGATGTCGACTCATCTCTGGCATGCCGTGGGTGTAAGACCACATAATCCAAGCGACCCGTAGCACATTGGATTGCTTTGAGATAAACATTTCTCTTCTCCTCGTCTTCATTCAAACCCAAGCGCATCTTCGCGCCGATGGCACCGATGGGCAAGGAGCTTCGAGCACGCCATTCAGCCAAGCAGTCAAAGAGCTGACGAAGCAGCTGGGGACGACTCAGCATTGCAGGGCCTAAGCCATCGTTGATGATGTGAGGTGATGGACAACCAAAGTTGAGATCAATACCATGGATCCCTCGTGCCCAATGTGGCTGATCTGTCAAAGCATGTTCTTCCAACATCTCCAAGGTTTTCCTCAGCTCATTTGTTCCACTCACCAAGAGTTGGACACCCGTCGGGCATTTGGCATCAAAGGTGTCAATGCGCCGTAAGGTTGACTGATTGCGCCGAAGTAAAGCAGCAGCTCTTACCATTTCGGTCCACGTAAACCCAGCACCCAGTTCGTAGCACAAACGCCTAAAGGCACAGTCAGTGACCTCCTCCATAGGTGCCAAAACCAATCTCTTGCGGAGCTTCCATCGGCCAAGTTGCCAAGGGCTGTCTAAGGACTTTCGTTGCACACGGGCACGACAATAGACAGCGGTAATTGCACCAAAAAGGGCGCAGCCTTCAGCTAAGCGTGAGCTTGTGGATTTTACAGATCGTGAGGCGAAATCGTGTCGAACCGGGGGGGAACCGAAACCACCCGATGCATGGTTGGGAAGAACATGCCATGGCGAGAAGCTGTTTGAGCAAAGTGTCGAACAATCCATCGCATGTCTCGATTGGATGCGTTCCTTTCGAACTGAAAGAGTTTTCGATTCCACGCTCCCTTTTTTTCTCATGCCTCAGCCATCATCTAGATCTGCAAGCAGCAGATTCTCCTGCAATTGGAGTTGATTCAAACTGCAAACCGGCAATCGCTACTAGTAGCAATTAGCTACTAGTAGCGATGCCCTTGTTACTAGTAATGCCTGGAGCTATGTTCGTAGCTTCTTAGCTACGTTTGTCCTTCGTTTGCTTTTGAGTCCCATCCTCTGGAGATCCGTCCTGGGTGTCGTTGCGCACGACCTTGGAGTGGTCCACCTGGTCGAACATGCCATGAAGCTCCTGGAGAATTTTTTTCGGAAAAGCGGTGAACACCGACTTGATAAGAAAAAAGAAGTAGAAAGAAAGAAGGTGAAGGTACCTGAATAGCTTCAAGGAACCCTTACCTTCTTTTTCATCTCTTTTTCTGTCTCCTCCAGCTCTTGCGCAGCGTCAGGTCCCTGCCGACTCTCCAGTCAGAATCTGAATCCGACCCTTTGTGACCGATTCAGATTCAAACGTACATAAAAATTAACGATTCAACAAATGGTCACATCTTGTTTCTTCTTGTGTACCGCTGCCGCACCTCTTCTGGCTCAGGATCCTCTTCCGGTCGCCAAAGCCTAAAGCGAGAAACATCGTTTCTCTGAGGAAGGACTTAAACCATGTTAAACCCTTGCACGATTTACACGAAGCTTTCTCCCCGCCACAAAGTGACAGGCTTTAAGCTGAGAAACCTTTTGACGGGATTGAAAAGACATTAAATTCATGTTTACAGTTACATAACAAGAACATTTTATCTCCTTTCTGATCAGGTCCCAACGCACCAGGGTTTGGTGCTGCTCCTCCCCGAAGATCGCTGAAGACCTTGGTTTTGTTCTCTCGAGTCGGCATTGGCGTCAGACTGGACTCAATTGAAGTCGGGACAAAGGTTTGCCGATCTTTTTCCAAAAATACGCGTGTTCAAAGTCCACCTGAGCCTATTGCGCGGACTCCACCTTCCTCAGACTCCTGAAGCGATTTGGCACAACTTGATACCGGCTAGTCACTTCACGGGTGGAATGGACACAGCTCAAACATGACTAGTAACAATGTTCGCTACTCGGGGCTCCCGGCGTCGCTACTAGGAGCAAGGACGCTACTAGTAACAAGAAGCTACTAAAGTTCTCCTGTGACTTGTTCTTGAATGCCTCTGCCATCAGTGCTGGCCTCGCTCAAAATGCACAAAGCAACGCAATTTCCCATGTCATCTTATTTCTGTATACTTCTACCTGGTCTCTACATAATGCTTCTATCAACTAATTACTCAAGTCCATTTGGTTAAGCTCCAGGCAGCATTGAGGTCTCATGCAGCTCCAGCAAGTGCGCAAGTCCAAAGGACTGTTCTCCATCCAGTCGACGGGCGCTTCGTGTGCCGTCCAATGCAACGGCGGCCAATTGTTGCTTCCAAACTTGTCGCACATAGACCTGCTCCTGGTCATGCAGCTCTGCGCAAAGGGAGGTGGTTAGATGTATCAGCGGATTGGCAATTTGTTTGAGTTCATTGTTGATTTAGTGATTTTCTAAGTCTCTTAGGTCTTTCACGTCCCAAATATACTGGATGCGTTCACATGTGAACATGTGTTGGCATGTAGCGGGATGAGCTGGGCCTCAATGGTTCCGGCTCCCAACAAGCGATAGACTTCTACCACCTTCGTCTGGCCAATACGGAAGGAGCGATCCTGCGTGCCGGTTGTTATTGCAAAAAGCACAGCTCTTTAAACAAGAACATAGAACGAATGTGGCAACACATTGTGATTTGTCTCGTTCGAACGAGAAACCGGATCTCCTGCGCTTGAAGATCTGAGAAAGGATTCCAGTCCGGATCAAAGATGACCACCACTGAGGCTGCAGTCAAATTCAGACCCACCCCTCCTGCACCTGAAAGGCTTTGTGACCCAGTGAAAGGCTTTAGCACAGTACGAGTATGAAGATGTAAGAAGTGTGCTTTTCAGACTCAAGCTGCTCAAGCTCGTGTCCATTCTTTTACCGCAGCTTCTAAGTCAGTGATCTCTGACAACTATTCCTGGGACTTTGCTAAGTCAACAAAAAAATCAGCTGCAAGTTTCACGGCAGATGCATGCGACTCCCGCACAGTCTCCACACCAGCAGGCTGCGGAATCACTGGATCATCCACGGCACGCGTCATCCAGCCATGCACCATATCTTGGTCTCACAAAACTACGCATTATGAGGCAAAGGGAATTTACTGAAGAAAGGGGGGGCGTGGCACGTTGATGTGTCGAGACCTTCTTGGCTCCTCGTTCTGATATCGCCAGGCACAAGTTCTTTTTACTTGGGTATGTCCTCGGTGTTGTATACTAGTATACATAATTTTGTCCAAGGTATGCTGTGATAGTATCCAAGCCAAAGGCGGCTTCCGCATTCTAATGGAGTTTGGAGTTCAAGCAAGGTGTCCATCGTACATGTGGACTCCAAAAGTTCAAAAAGGTGAAACAACAACAAATTCATTGTAAATGCTGACTCCAAGAGCTTCGAATGAAGGCCTGGCTCTCTACGAACCAAACATTGACGACCTACCGAAGGGGCTTTGGCCAAGAAACTCTCATAGCAAACAGACCTGCTAGAGGGATAGGTCGCTGTGACCAGATTCATGAACTCGCCGCCCGGCTTTACCTTGCAACTCTCACAATGTGCAGCGTGAAAGAGGGGAGAAGGGAGAAGGGAGAAGAAGGAGAAGGAGCAGAAGGAGAAGGAGAAGAAGGAGAAGAAGGAGAAGCAGGTGGAAAGGAGGGGCGAAGGGCGAAGGGCTCAGGCCGGAGAATGAAGAACCCGCAGACTCCGCAACGGTGAGGAGATGAGAGGAGCAAATCCGGAAGGGAAGGAAGGAAGGAACATGAGCAGTACAATAGTACAAATACCCAGTACATGGATGAGCCTATGCACCGGGGACGGACAAACAAATAATGACTCAATGAGAATGAACAGCACCAGCTGCAAATGTCTTTGACTGGTGCAAGCCGTGCAAGCCAACATATGTTTTTGGAAGCTATGCTAGAAAGCCCTACGAGTACATTTGTCAGACCGTGCCCCAGGTGGTTCTAACTGATCCAGTTCATGTTGTGAACAAAAATAAAGAACTCCATGCACCATGCATGTTTATTTTATAGGATTTGCAGGATCCCATCCACAATAAGTGGCAAACACTGGGTAATAGCGATGGACGTTGCAATGTTACTGATCCATCATGATCCATCTAACCTTATGAATACTTCTACAACTCTTGCCAAGGGTCGGCTGCATCATCATTTGACGCTGGAAGCATCAGGTGAGGGCAACGTGCAGCGTTCGCCAAATCAGCACCTCCTTGGGAGTGTGGCGAACATTGCAGCCGACCAACAATCAGAGACGGATGGAATCCGACCACTCCACGGAAAAGCCCAGTCGAGCTCGCTTTAACGGCCAAATATCCACCGAAGCAGAAGCCAAAACAAAAGAGAGCTGAGCGTTCTCCAAAGGTATTCGCCAAAGCTTGGATTTTTGGGCCCAACTTCTCCCAGTTATGGTAATATCGAATCCGATACACGATTCGAAAAATGGACAGCTGCAGCCACAATTTGGGCCATTGATACCCAGCAAAATCCTGGCAAACGGGATCTCCATGAAATAGGTCAGGTAGACAAACCAAGCTTCCAGGAATTGCTTCTGCCAATTCGTCACAAACCCTGCGATGTCTGCCGGACATTGCACCAAACACGTCTGCAAAGCCCAGGATGATCATCTTTGGATCTTCTTTCTTTCCAGAAAAATAACAATCCACATCAGCCTTCTTCTCCCACCAACCTTTCAAGTCCTGATCATCCGGAGGGAGAGGACCGTGCGATCCAGATGGACAGCATGGGGCTGTCATTGTCACGGGAGGTCAAAGAATCCAAGTCTCTCGAGCCCAAATGGATTCACCACCGGACATCCCTGGACGATGGCATATCAGAATATTTAGCAATCAAAGAAGCTACTAGTAACAGGTGCCACGCTAGTAGTAACAGGTGCCTTACTAGTAGTAACAAGAAGCTATTTAAACTTACTTTAATTCTAATTGTTACTACTAGCGTGGCACTTGTTACTAGTAGCGTGGCACTTGTTCCTAGTAGTCCCAAAATGTCCCAAAGAAGTGAGACATGCGTGCCAAACGCACTGCACTCAATTCCTCAGTTGGTGACGGGTCGAGATCAGAAAAATGGACCTCGTGGAAGACGTATTGAACCTCAAGGAAAAGGGTTCTATTTTGTTGTAGGAACAACTTCTTACAGGTAAATCCATCTAAGGCCTGAGCGCCTAATTGACTCTGCAATTGATGTTGATAGACTTGCAAATAGACTTGCATTGAACAACCCAGCATCCGTATCAATATGTGGAACGGACTCGCACCGACTGCTTGGGTGCGCCGGCTCATCAACCAGTCGTTGCCGCTGACCGACTGCTGTGGCTCCATCCAGTCGCAGAACGGAAGGAGACCTTGGAAAAAAAATGAAAAAATGTCACCTTTAAATTTAAAACATGTGAAATGCAAACATCTTTTACAACTCTCATGAGCTTTCTGATATCGTGGGCAACCTGTCCACTTGGGAAGTCGTCTGTGATCACTGTACTCACTAGGGACGAGTCCGGAAATTTTGCATTCACGGTGTTCAACACATGAGAAAGACCTGTGGTGCTTCATGTGCTTCATACTAGGTTGGAGGCCATCGCTATTGGGTTGGAGGCTTGTGTTTGTACAACTTTACTTCATGTCGAGAACGACCTGAGCTCAATGCCACCCTTGCTGCCACAAGCAAGCCTCAAGGATGTCGAGTAGCCTAACAGCTTAGCACATGTTCATGTACTGCACAGTGCAAAGTCTTCCTTCCCACCTGGTGGATCGTGAAAATATCAACACCTGGCTCGATAAGGTGAATTGGCGGAAATCCGCATAAATGCAGAAGATCGGATGCTTGACGCTGCTTGCACCTTCTGCATGCGTCGGCGCCAATGCCGCAAAAGGGGTAGAAGCACCTAGAGGATGCTCATTACGCTTGAAGCAACATCACTGCTATCGCACATATGGCCTCCCTAATTCTCGCACCCAAAGCCCAACAAACAATTTGCCAAACCTTCTATTCATGTCCTACTTCCTCCCCGCCTTCAAACGCCACAACCATAGGAGCTATTGGAACACAAACAAACTGCCAAACTTCCCCGTTAAAAAGCTTTAAAACCCCATTGAAAACGTCGAGAGCCGCTTGAGTCACATTCTGCTTCGCTCCCGGCTCTTCGCCTGCATCTTGCCACAGGCTTCTGGGTCTCCCAGCCTCAAGTCCAATCAGAAAAAGAAGAAAAAAGAAGTCGTCTACGAACCGTCTCTTTTATAGAATTTTCTGTGAAAATGTTTGATGAGTCTCGGGTGTTCGAAATACTAGAGGGCTTCGTGGGCGATGGAAACGGATTCCGTCACACCTCCAGCTTTCTCCTGTCCTTTCTTTTTTGCAAACCCAAAAAGTCTGGCAACCAAATGAATAGTGCAAGCGCTTCTTCAACTCCCCGCCTTCAGGTGGGCCTTACTTCCTTATTTCAAGTAGGCGCCTGCTTAATTAAGGAGGCCTGAGGCAAGGCCCTTCGGCTTATTTTATAAAAAGGAATCGCTTTGAATTTCGGTGTCCTGCACAAATGTTGAGGTCCTCGCTGTAGCCTGTTGGCCACTCGCCGTTGACTGCAAAGGTTGTGGTCCTTGAAAGAAACTGGGCAGGCAAAACCAGCAAGGTCCAAACTGTTGTGAGCATTGCACTGGACACCTTGACATGGTGAACCGATCGAAGCTGCTTTTACTTAAGCGCCCAAGAAAAAGGGAGCGATCATTCGAGCGCCGCCATTTCGTTTGGAGCCGACCTTTCGTTTTGGTTTCGCTGTGACACGAAGAGTTTTTTGCAGAGCGGTTGGTTGCAAGCCTGGTGACTCACACCAGGTTATGAGCCCAAAGGTTCATGCTGGAGCATAGGCGAAGACAGGCCACCCGGCAAGAGCTCGAACAGGGCCAAAAGGAGATCCAGGCAGCAGATGCCAGGATGAAGCGGGAAGCCAAAAAGAGAGGCGAACTTCCGATCGAAGACGCTAAGGTCGGAAAGGGAGGAAAAGCAAGCTCAGCGCCTGAAGACAAAGGGCATGATGTTGGCTCCACCCGATCGCCGACGGTCACCCTGCCATCCACCGAGGAAAGTGCCTCGGCTTCTAAGGCACCAGCAGTCTCAACTCCGAAGCCCATTGAGGATGAATCAGGTTTGCCAAAGCCGCCTGAAGAAGCACATGCCAGGACACCACAGGTTCTGGGACTGAAGGGTCATGAGAAAAGGGAGTCGCATGGTGTTGAAGTGATAGATGAGAACCAAGGTCATGAGATGATTGAAGCGGGTCCCCATGGTAGGACACCGGAATCACATGCTGTGACCATGGCTCCACTCTTCACGCCTGAACAGTTGGACTCGTTGCACCAAGTACAAGCCCAAGCTCCATGGCTTTATGCTAGGCTAGAAACGCCACAAGCACCAGCATTGCAGCGGCCTTCATTTCTTCCCTCCACTGACCGTGACTGGAGGGTGAGAAAGGAAGAAATGGACAGTCGAAGTTCTCAAGAGTTGATAGCCCATGTCCAAACTGCCGAAGCTGCAGAGAAAGAAGATCTCCTTCGCCACCTTCGACAGCTCACCTATGAGAATGGTTTGCTGAGGGATGAAGCTCAAAGAAGAATTCGAGAAGAAGTGGTGAAGCCACCAGCAGGTCTCCATGAACGACATGTTCAAACCCTGTTGGAAGAAAACCTTCGATTGCAGCAGGAGCTTCGTCGAATGTCCTCGATCCTGCCACCAGCCAAGGAAGACGACCCGATCTTTGCCACCCCGAATGGAAGCTCTGGTCGTGAAGAAGGAACTGGAGGACGGGGGAGAAAGACACAACAAAGGGTTGAAGAAAATGATGGACGAAGGTCCAGTGAAGTTGATGATTCAAAAGGTCAAGAAAGCACCGCACGCAAAGAAACAGAAGAAGAGCCAGTAAAGAATAGTGGCACTGGAAAGGGCAGAGGGTCAAAGAAGAAAGAAGTGGGAAGTGAAGAAGACAGTGTGCATCACCAGACCTTGCAGGTGATCTTGAAGGTTGTGGAAGGAATGCAGAAAATGCAGGATCGAATGTCAAAAGGATCCTCGACGGACTTGGAGAACGAGCCCGAGATGGTGAAGCACAATGTTGAGCTTCCCAAACTACCGGAATGGAATTGTGAGTCGGCGCCAATTGATTTCGCTGACTGGCTTCTGCTCCTGGCACCACTGATGGCTGACCTGACCTCAACGTCGGAAGAGTGGTGGAATTTGACCTTGGAGGAATCTCGCCAGTGGTATCAGCGCCACCTCACCAAGTCGCCCTTGGACCGGTTGACCCATCAGATATCGCCAAGTGCCAAGTTGACAACTCGCAAGTGGGCACGATTGGAGAAGCGAACTACAGCCCTACTCCTGTCTGCCATTCCAGAATCCCTTCGTGAAGAAGTTGTGTCAAGCAAAAGTTTGTCAACTTTTGGAATCCTGGTCAAAGGCATGATTGCCTACCAGCCTGAAGGCCTTTCTGAACGTCAGGCTATTTTAGCCGCCCTGGAGAATCCAATGGAGGCCACGTCAATTGGCCAAGCAGTCATGACACTTCGGAAGTGGCTGCGATGGCGGAGGCGGGCGGAGGAAGTGGGAGTTTCGATTCCCGACCCCACGATTTTGGCTCGTGGACTCAGCAAGCTGACAAAGAAGTTGGTGGTTGTTCACCCTGAGCTCAACTTCAGGCTGCAGCTTGTCCGCAGTTCGTTGATGGTTGATGCTGTCCCAAGCCATGATGCCATTTCGAAGTACAGTGAGCATCTTCTTGCTGAGCTAGAACAAATGGGGCAGCAATCCCGAAAGAAGGAGAACACCGTCGACTTGCCGAAGGTCAAGAAGTTTGAAGAGCAAGGAAAAGAAACAAAAGAAAAGAAGGAGGCCAGGGACGGTGATGACAAAGAGAAAGGGAAGTGTCGGTTCTTTTTGACGGACCAAGGATGTCGCAGGGGGAAACACTGTGGGTTCTCTCACGACCAAAAAGATGACAAGAGACGCTGCTGGGTGTGTGGTTCACCAGATCACTTTGCACCGGCCTGTACAAGACCAACAGATTCTAAAGAAAGCCCACCGAAGCCAAAGATCGCCAAGGCAGAAAAAGAAAAAGGTGGGAAGCAGAAAGGGGAAGAAGAAGGAAGTGATGATGTTCAGCCGGCCATCAAAGAGCTTCTCAAGGAAGCCAATGACATGCTGCGAGGGATGAACACCACTCCATCCCCATCCTCTGCAAGTACCTCACCATCCGCAAAAGGTGGTGACTCTCCTGAAAGAAATGAAGTGGTGGAGAAGCTCCAACAGCAGCTCAATGCCCTCCGACAGAAGGCATTCCAGTTGTGCCGGCTCAAGAAGGGGGAAAGACAGGGCTTGCTGGACTCAGGGGCGACGCACCCTCTCCGCCCAAGCAAGAAGGGTGAAGACAAGTCCACCTACCGTGTGGTTCAGGTTTCGCTTGCCGATGGACAAGTTGTTGACATGCCAATCTCCCCAGGAGGTTCCATGGTGTCAGATGATGATGACATTGAACCAATAGTTCCGATGGGATTGCTCACTGAGGCCCTTGGATGCACGGTCTCCTGGTCAAAAGATCAGCTTCAGGTCCATCACCCTCGACGAGGAAAACTTCCAGTTGACCAGAAGGATGGATGTCCTCAGCTGCCTCGTGGTGTGGCCCTTGGTTTGATTGAGGAGATTGAGCAAGTGAAGAAAGGAATCAAGTTCAAGGAAGATGACAGTTTCCACGATGAAGTACAGTGGATGAAGCACTTTGTGGAA